CCTTCGCTTCGGTCTACCCCTCGGACGCTTATCATTCGGTACAGCAAATATTAACCTTTTAGGAATTCTCTAAGTCTAACAACTTTACAAGCCCATTTGATTCGCCGCGATGAAATTACCTCAATTATATTACCCGGATACAGTTCACGCAATTTGGCGTTGTGTAACCGTCTGAACTCTTTGGTCCGAATATTCTACACAATACTTTATTTTCAAAAACCTTAAGACGCTGCTCATCCCTTAATGTAAGCGGCCAAGTTTCGCATCCATTAAGAACTGTAGGAAAAATAATTGTTTTAAGATTTTTGTTTTAAGATACTTGGCAAGATTCTAATTTTTAAGTTCCGGGACAAGAGGCGCGAACTAAGTAGTTTTGTCACAAAAAAATAACAAGCATTTCCCGCCTTCAGTCTAACCTTAATCTGTTCTTCAATTTCGTTGTTTCTAGTTATCGTAGAACCGAGATACCTAAATTCTCTAGTGATCTATTAATCTTGACCAACATCCACCTTAGAAAAACCTTAAGACGCTGTTCATCCCTTAATGTAAGCGGCCAAGTTTCGCATCCATAAAGAACCGTAGGCAAAATAATTGCATAATGGCAAGATAATAACATTTAATTTTCGTCTAATATTATTAGTTTTTAGAAATTATTATTCATTAGTTTTCGTTAATTTCGTCGGCACCATGTTATAAATATTGGGCCGTTTGTCCTATATAAACTCCTTATTTTGAAAATTTGTAGGTCCCACCAGACGACTCATGATTTTTTAAGGCCACCTTTTTACTATCAATTTTTTTATCTAAATATCTTACGATCCAAGTAGAAAGCAAATGTGTATTATACGAGTTTTTAGTACATTATTAAATAGACAAAGTCTGTCTTCCTTCAAATTGGAAATGCCCCAATTCCAAGAGTTTTTGTAAACAAAATAGTTGTAGGTTACGATGAGATGAAACTATTCACGAAGTTTCATGCGCATGTTAATAATTCGCTGAAAAGGAGTCTGTACCACAGACCAGAATGTGAACCTTTCCTACGTTGGACTTTTGCTACTGTGCCTACGATTTCAGCTATCTATTAGACTTTATGTATTAGATATTATTGTACCTAAAATTTTCAGCATTCCGACAATATATTATACGTATATATAACTAGTGTAATTTCCGAAAATTTATTTTCAACACGGATGAATATTTCTCTCGTTTTATCATTTAATTAATTATCGATTTACTTCATAGTACATTTTTATCTATCTATCGTTATTACTAACAGTGAGACAGTGTTCATTATGAGATAGTTCCGAAAAATGGCATGTATTCTTTGCCTTTTAATTATTTAAATGACTTGTTTTTCATTATGGAATTAAATGTTTACCTATTTATAAGTTTATTTTATCCCCACCATACTCTGGGGCTTATTTGTTACATAATTTATAAACATAAGCAAATGAATATATCTTACGTAACCTCAGTTATTTTCCAAATCACGACCCCAGTTGACATTATTATCATTCCTAGAATTATTTTTGTTGTTTAAAATCTACGCCAGAAAAAAAATATATTATGTGGTAATTACAAATGGCTATTAAAACCGACTAAATAAAGCAATTAATATATATATATGTATATATATTATTATTATTTTTAATTACAAATTCGGAAATAAGCTGAGTTAATAATAGGTGTATGAAGAAAAAAAATGTTGTTATTTATAATATAAAGATTTTTAAACTAGTTTAGTTATACATAGAGATAAATTAATAATTCAGTTTTTATTTTGAAAAATGTAGGTTGAAATTATTTAAAATGACATGCAAAGAGGTTTAAATAAACATAACTTTAAGAGTGGAAGTTTTAGAAATAAAATATTGTCATGACGACAATGGAAATTCAGCTCATATGTATTTAGTTTTATTTAACAATAAGTAAAGATAAAATAGAAAATTAAAATGATTAAAGAGCAAATGTAATTAGGCTGTGATGTTGTTTTGTTGGTTAAAGATTTCATCCCTTGAAAATGGCTTAAAGGCTAAAATGTATGTAAAATAAATTAAGTAGGACTATTGGGATCTGATAAGTATTGATATTAAAACAATTACTTTGTTTAACCCTGACTTTATACCAATGGCCTTTATAGTTATTTCTATTAATTATTTGATGTAATGTAACTTTTTGCATTGTAGTTATTTGCTCTAAAAATATTTTTTAAAAGTTATAGTTGTTCATTTAATTTAAAATAAACATACTAAGTACCTTCCATATATAATCGATTTTAAAATTTATTTACAAAAAGTAACATCTCTAACAAACACCCAAAATCTGGTGCTGTGTAAGCATCATACAACTTTCACCCTCTTCTTAGTAGAAATAATTATTTCCAGAGAAACTGGAAGTTAATAATAAAATAAAAATAGCTGTATTGATTTATATTTCATTGTGGATATTTTGATTTTTTATGTACTCTTTTATATATGTGTATATATATATATATATATATATATATATATATATATATATATATATATATATATATATATATATATATATATATTTATACATATATTCTTTTTATTTTTTAACATTTTATTCGGTTGGCTCTACAGACCTTGTAGATCTTTGGCCGCCTGAACCAGCCTTCCCCACATCTGCCTATCTTGGCTACTGCTTTCCAGTTTGCTGCATGAAGCTCAACCGTATCTTTGTTTATCCTATCTATCCATCTGGTTTTTGGATTCCCACGGGGTATCTTGCCTACTACATTTATTGTCGTGTAAAGGCTACATGCCCTGCCCATCTTAACCTTGCCTTCATTTCATGAGATATTGACTGGCCCGTATCTTTCAGCAATTCTTTATTGTTCCTTCTCCTCCATGTGTCAAGGTTCTTGTCCCATATAGGTTCTGTTATCCTACATAGAACTTTTCTTTCGAATCTCTCAATTCTGACTTCTAGTGTGCCGGTGCCACCAACATTTCAAAATAAAGAGTTTATATAGGACAGACGGGCTATATTTTTGTAGGCCACCGTCCTTCTCGAGTTCGCAATCAAATTATCTTACGATTCAAGTGTGAAATATTTGTTTTTCCTATACCTCCATCATTTATTAACAGTATATACATTGCTAGAAATAATATATATTCCCTTGGTCATACCTCTTTTACTGCTCGAAACATTGTAAGGATAGGAGTGGGGTTTGTTGAATACAAACGTTTTACTGTGGTTATTGGCTGTTTTATTAAACTTTTTTAACTGTAAAGCAAATGGGTATTCATGAGTTTATATGTTTATTTTTGTATAATGGCGTTAAACTGTACTGGTCGTCAACGACATTTTGACTTTTAATTAATTGTATGTATACTCAGAGGTATTCATGAGTTTTAGTTCCTTATTAAATGAATTAATTTATTAAATTTTATGACGTGACCACTACCCTCATAATGTCAAAATTATGAAAAAGATTATATTATATTTGCCAAGATTATATTTAGCAAACGGCACAATATTTTTGTAGGCCGCCTTCTTTATATATTTCGTGATCAAATTATCTTATGATTTAAGTGAAAATTTTATGTGTTTTAATACTTAATTAAATTACTTAATGAAGAAATGTGACATTTGTGAGAATTGTCATACATAAATGAATTTGTGGGTGAAGCCTTTTTTTTTTTTTTTAATTAATTTTTTATTTATGCCAACGTTTTAACCCAACAATATTCGAACTTGAACACAGTACTTGAGCACCCTCAGTGCTCAAATCACGCCCTGAAGACGACCCACATGTTTGGGTTGAAACGTTGGCATAAATAAAAAATTAAAATTTTTTTTTAAGAAGACTGAATATTTATCATGCATAATATGTAGAACAGTCGACTAACTTCCTTCAATAATAAATAAAATTGTAGTTTATTCGATGCCATTAAGGAAGTTTTAGATGGATGTTAATAATTTTACATAAATATGTCTGTAACACGGAATATTGGCCTAAAACGAATTATATTTTAAATAAAAATCGTTGTGAATTTCATCATTGCCTCTTCTTCATCAATGTCCTCCGCATGAATGGCGGCAGTAGAGAGGTGGGAACTCGCGGCAGATGGCTTTGAAGGCAGGTGTTGGGCGCAAGGCGTTCGTTACCTGCGGCACGTAAACAAGAAGGTTGCGCCCTCCAGCCTGGATAGGGGAGGTTTGTTTTGGTTTATTGTGTCCTGGAGCAACGGAACTTGGGGATCGGTTGGTCATTCACGAAATCTCGGAAAGTAGGTATAGCCAAGGTCGGAGTGTGAAAAAAAATAATTTACCTTATAGCTCTGGAGCACTGGCCTAAAAATAGTACTCATTTCAGAAGAAAATGTGAATACGAAATATATTATTCTTAGTAAAATGAAACTTTTCTGCCATTCCAGAGCAGTTGCTTTCTTGTGACTGATTTGGAGAATGTTAGTCTATTTACTTCAGGATCGAAACGAGGATTTTATTGCGAAAAATTTGGTTAGCCTTTTCATTTTTGAACATGTAAATATAAATTCCAACATTTTCCTTGCTGACAATATGCAGGTAGGATTTTTAGTTTTTGAGATATTTTAATCCAAGTGCAAAAACACTTCAATTAGTCGATTCCAGCCGACTTTACCCGAGCGTTACATATCGAAAATCTGACGGCTCAATCTAGTTCACTATCCACAAAAAAATGCAAAACACTACTAAAGATTTTTTCCCGTCAATTATCTTTTTTTTTTAGGTTTATTAATAAATATCATCCACCCACACATGAATGTTTTTAACATTTTAATTTAAACATTCGTAATTAATTATTCAAATTTCTCGGAATAAGTTAATAATCCACTTTCTCCCGTTAAATATCAAAGTTAATTAGGTAATCCGGATAATAATTAATTTCATGTTATTGCGCCCACCGAGTGGGGATCCGTTGCTAAAAATAGAGCCTTCAGTTGGAGATATAACGATCGGTTTGATAATTATTTTGTTAGTATTGTATTGGCAACTTGAGGCTGCGACTGAGAACTCCCTCATGCCGAACCAGTATTGGATAGGATTCTCTTTTAATTAGGGATGATTTTTTCACTATTGGTTCTCGCAAGCTTCGCCTCGTTCACTTGTGCAAGTCGGATCTCTTGCAGGTAACATTTCACGAATAAACGAACATCAAATATAATAGTATGAAATGAATAGTTTAATAGTTGTTAGAACTATAATTGTTCCAAAATTTTTATACAGAGTGTCCCGTAAGTAAAGGAAAAAAATTTATAGGAGTGGTTCTCAAGAGCTAGAACAGTTTATATGAACATGGGTCTGATTTTCGGTAGACAAGCAGGAAATTTAAGTTATGTGTTTTGTTGAATAGGACGCGATAGCTAAAAAAATATTTAATTTATGTAATCAACAGTTGATTCACTATAGACTAGACAATATTTTATTTAAATCAAAATAGAGTTTGTCATTTTTAAAACCATTTAAAGAGGACTATTTAGCAGCTATATTATTTTGTATTTTTTTATTAAGCAAAATTTTTTTCTCTTGAAAAATCATCAATCATTCGTGATTTTTTTTTTTTTATCGTTCTCTTACTCGTACCCTATTTTTATAAAAAATCTTCCTCTTTAAGTCCATATTGTTGCAAATTTTTGCAATGCTTTTATTTCTGGTTTTTCCACGATATTTTACACCAAAACAATTATTAATTACTTAAATTAAATATTTATTTACTTAGGGTTTTCTACTCAACTAAAACAAGAAAACTTTTCTCTCGAAAATCAGACAAATGTTTATATAAAATTTTTGTACCTCTTGAGATCTGCTTTCAGTCTTATAATTATTTACCCTAATAATATTTTTTTTTACCGGTACGTCGATTTCAAGATTTTGTTTTCCTTTAGGTGGAAAAATAGCCATATTGTTCCGAAATTCCAGGAAGAAAATATTAAAAAGAAAATCAAATTTTATTTCTCAAATTCTCAAAAATTATAAATTGTTTGCATCAACAATTATTTAAAAGATCACTAAATTCCATAAAAAACCAAAACAAAAATCATCGAAATCGAACCATTATTAGCAAAAAGACAGTTTATTGTAATTTGTGAACTTGGTTCAAAAAGTTCATTTTTTTTTTTACTTAATTTTATTGGTTTTTAATATAATTTTTATTTATTTTTCTGATGTGGTTCATAATCTTTTGAATTCTTCATTTTCTACACGTTTGCATTTTAAGGAGGTTTATACCTCCATTATTATTTCAGTTAATAACCTTGATTTCCTTATAATGATTAAGTGATGTCACCCTTAGGTCACCCTTTTTTTATTGAACTTATAAACCAAACAATAAAACTACAATTTAATTTCAAAACAAATTTTTTAGGGTTTTGGAAGGTTTTAGTTGATTAAATAATTTTTTTTAACGTATTTTATTGATTTGAATATTTGGAATGTCTTTCAGTAATGAAATTCTTTAGTTTATGTATTTTAAATTCCTCGTGGAGTTTTTACGCTTTTTGTTCTTTGCATCGCCCCTTTAACTATATTTTAACAAATATTACATTTTAAAATAATTGTAGCCTCTTCTCTGTATAATAGTTAATCATTGAAAACGATGGTGTGCAACAACATAAAGTAGGACGTACTACAGTTTTGTAGAAAAAACTTTTTGGGGGCAAAGTAAGATTTGTGGGAGATAAAAGATCATTTAGTCTGTATGATGTTTGTCTTTTTCGATTGATTTTTTTTTAAATTTAAATGAAGCATTAAAATAATTTATTTCTCCTTAGTCTATTACAATTATCCATAAAATTAAAATCGATGTATTCATCCATATGGTATGTTACATTATTTCATTACCTTATTATTTTGTATTTTTTTTTCACGATCTTTGAGGAGAATTAAAACATAATGAAGTAAGATCAAAAACGGAAACTAATTCAACCAGTTTATATTTTTTAATTTAAATATTTTAACAATGGAATTTCATTTGCGATAATTCTGTGTAGATAACATTAAACATGAGCCAATGGAATTCCTTTTGCGATAGTTATGTTTAGATAAAATATTGCAAGAACCAAGTAAAAGAGTTTATCGGTTCCGCATTTTTGACCTATTCTGTCGGATTTTGTTATTGAAATTTTGATTTTTCTTATATAACCAAATACTTCACGAATATTTTGGCCTTGTAATAATCATCAATCATTATGAAATTAGATGCGGCATATGTTTGTTTCCAACATGTGTGGGTTGACATTTATTTCAATATAATATAATCTTGTTTTTAAATTATAGCGACTAGCTATAACATTTATTTTTTGTATTTTATTCTGTCATCACTTATGAATTTTCAATAGAAACTAAATAAATTAAGGAAACAGTAAAAACCACATACTATAATTGTATAATTATAAATTTTGTTGAAAAAATTATGACTAATGAAAAAAAAAACGAACAATATAAATATTAAATAATACTATATATGAACATACAGCTCTAAAAGAGACATGAAATAATTAGGGCAAAACTGAAAAAAATTCCATAAAGCCATGGAACTCTCACAAACAGTTGAACAGTTAATCTTCCAACGTTTCGCCAATTCAGGCGTCAACAGGACAGAAAGACAAACAAAATCTCGTATTTGCAAAAAGAAAAGAAGAGCATCTCACCAAGTTATCAAAATACATACAAAAGGAACCGGATTTTGCATAAACGCATGAGAGGAAGGATATGTTATACAGCTGATCAGAAGGGATAAAAGAACAAAAATAAGCTCACCTAAAAAATTTACTAATATAAAATTTTTATAAATTAAGAAAATTATCGGAAATCAATTAATTCAAAATAATATGTTTCAAGGTATATGTAACATCCATACTCAATTACATGGTTTGAAATCGATAATTATTTTCCCTACAAAACATGTAATGTAAATTATCATATTTGATTTTTAATTTAAAGTTATGTTTGCTATAAATAAATTTATAAATACAAATTTAAATCGATCCTTGATCATTGGATTAAATATAATAATCACTCGATTGTTACGGTTTCGCATAAATAATAATAATTGCATTGTGATAAAAAAAAAATTGTGATCAGAAAATAATAATCAACGTTTACACACAAATTAAATTAAATATTAATATGTATGTATAGGTTATTAATGGACTTATTTTTAATATTGTATTAAATTAAACCGCTTTAATTGTTCACGTGTTACCTACAGTAGATATAATATATAAAACCACAATTTCTAATGAATTTTGGAAATAAAGATGTTCTGGTATTAATAGTTGACAAAAATATTTCCCACCTATTACTCCAGACTTAAAATATATTATAGAGGTTACAAAAAAATATATTTCTGATTTTAAAATGTATTACTTAACAGTTATTATTATTGTTAGTTATAAATGTTTTGTTCAAAACTAATGATCAGGATAGGATTTATATCATTTGTGATAAAAAACAAAAATACCTATTAATAAAAATAATCAAATGATTTTTAAAAATGTTATCAAAATTGATTTTTATCTTTTTAAATGCTGCTATAAATAAACACATAGCTCTAAAATATACATAAGATAATTAGCATATAAATGGAAAAATTCAACCAACATAGCTTATAAGTGTGTAATATTCAGGTTTTTATTTTTCTCGTATCCCTTCTCATCAGCTGTTTAATGTAATGTTTCTCTAATGCATTTATGAAAGATCCCGTTTCCTTCTGAATATTGTTTAATGAGTTGTCTCTCGTAAATATATATATATTCCTTAATCATTCGGTGTCCCTGGGCAATACCCTCCTAAAAAAAATAAATTTATTTCCTTAGCTGTTTTATCTTATGTAACATCTGAATTTTATCACATTCAACATTTCTTTAATACGGTTGATTTATTGGTAGGCCAAAATTAATTATTCTAATAAGTTTTCAACTTTTTTTTAATATCTTACAAGTGGAGAGAGAGCCACTAAAGATCGACCGGCGAGCACAACGGGCGCCTCTTCAGGTTGACTCCCCGAAGCCACTCCAGTGGCCCCACCCTGAGGCCGCCACTGATACGTGTTCTTGATTTTTCTGTTGTGAAGATACCTTCATTGGCGAAACATTGGCAGGTTAATGGCTCCCTTGTATGGTAGAGATTCGTGGCTATATTCTTTGGATTATTCCATTTATGTCATGCATATTAAATTAATATTTTATAATTGTTTCATTTCCAGTATACTTTAAGTATTGGACAAATTACTTTGAAGTTTATTATTTTTTACGTGTATATTTGTTTTTAGAAGTTTTTATTTATTTATTTGTATTACAGGGGTATTGGCAGTGATAAAAAGCCAGAAAACTGTTCTCACGGAGCAGTGGAAGTACGGAAAAAATGGGTTTGTGCCAAAGGCCCTGGAGAAAGGTGAAGATTAATTTTGAATGATTGTATACCTACGACTAAACAAAGTTATTAAATTTCGTGCATTATCAAAGAAAGAGACAATTACAAGCAACAATCAGAGAGAGTTAGAAAAAAAAATAGGTATACTTAGTTATAAAAAAAGAATATCCTTGCTCCTCAAAGCTAGAAAATAACTTATTTTGAAAATAAAACTTTAAAAAAATTAGGAATAAATACAGATAATATAAAAATAAAAATAATTTCCGTATAGGTACTTGCATTTAGTTATAATTTAAAAAACTTTTAAAGCTTTCATGAAACCTAGGTATGAAATTAGGAATAATTTATCCTCTAAAATTGGCAGCCCGAGGCAGCACTATGTTGAAATAAACAATTAACAATTTTATGTTATACAATACAAGAGTATATCGTAACCTTTAATATAAATGTATAATATATATATGTAACTATCGGAGGGTAAAGGAAAAACAAAATGTTAGTTCTTCGTGAGTCCACCCTCGGGCTGCTTATTTTGGGTGAGCTATTATATAATAACAATTAATTTTTTTATTTTTGTTGGAAGGTGTGGAGGTTACCAGGAGCTATGGGGGAAGTGCGGATTGGGGATGTACTGCGACAATTGCGGCTTATGCAGAGGTTGTTCCACTCAAGTCCTGATTGATTATAACAGATCCGTCTGCAACAATACCACTTGCACCAGACAACCATATTATCCTGGTTATTCATGACACAATCAACGTATAAATGTTTTAATTTATACACAGTTTAAATAGAATTGTGCCAATATGTGTAAAAAGTATAATTTAAAACAGAACATAATTTATTTCATCAAGTTCTTTGAACAATAGTAGGTGATCCGTTCTATGTAACCGACAAAACCCTAAACCATGACCATAATACCCCATTTGTCCAAAACCTTTTCCTAGAAAAATTATCCTAATTTCACCAAAACCTTTTACACCTCTCAAATCTCCTTGCACAATCCCTATTCAGCTCAACCCATCCCTACAAACCTCCTCGAAGGCTAAAGTGAGAGGCTTTGGGATCTCCTTAACTTCCGATTTTCCTTTCAAATTTGTGGGAAAAGGCTCGGAGTTCTGAACATTTGTAAATATTGTATTTAAGTATGTCTGTATTTAAGTTGTTATTTTGATTAGTATGAGTTTCTTTTGTTTTTATGTATTTATTTATTATTAGTTTCATTATTAAGGTGTTTTTTTTATTTTATTTGTAGTACATATAGCGTATATGAGCTACTCTATCATTATTATCAATGTTCTTAATTGTGACAAAATGTAATATTACTTAAAAAAGAAATTTAAAATATATTAAAAAAATATTACATAAATGATTTTTTTTTTTTTTCTCAAACGAAAACGTAACACCTATTCAAGTTTTTCCTTGAATATGGACGATTTCAAATAAACTCTTCTTTATTATTCAAACAAATGAAAACAATTTTTTTTACTATTTTGAACCTGATCACTTCAAATTTTAGCGCTTTTGATTCAATTAAAAACTAAATGAACTTTACATGCGGTGGTACAAAAAAATTATGCCATTGCCAACACCACTAATTTAATTTAAATTGTTATTTTCCTGAGTTCTAAATTGTTTTGATGTATAGAGGAATGGCTTTATACTAAAGTTAGACTTGTGGGGAAGAGGTTAAATTTGGAACATTTTTTTTTTTATTTGACGCTGTAAAAATAGATTAAAATAATAAAAACTCTCTTTTCATTTCAAAAAACTCATGTACGTTGAATGAAATGCATAGTTATTAGGAACAAAAAAGGACAAATCAATAATTTTGAAAACAGACTTTATTCATGACAATTGTGTTTAACAAACAATACTGAACTCTATACGAAATATGCCTGTAATTAATGAGAAACTTCTATTATTATATAGAGCAATTAATTTCCTCATTGACAAACAAAAGTTTGAGTTACACAACAGAAGCCACTCGAACATTGAACGTTATGCTTATTATTGTTGTATTAGTATAACTAGAATATAAAGAAATATATTACATTTGATTAAACATTTAAATGAAAGATATTATAAGTAATTCGCAATACAATCACAAGTTACTGAAAGTAAGCAGACAAATTTAAGCGATTTATATCGATTTTCATTCTTTTACTCCAGCATGAATCGGAAAGTTGGACAACCCTCGACAAGCATAATTTCATTTACTGTAGTCAACTTTGATGTTCATCTTAGAATAATCTTGTAATGATAAATGAAGATTGCTTATCATTTTTGTTTTAGTCACATTATACAACAAAAATTAACGACGAAAGAAGTTAACAGACATTCTGCTTTCGACTATTTGATGATGATTCATCAGCAATTTAAACAATGCATGTAACAAAACATCTTATAATCATGTCATTCTGCAATGAAATCCCGTAATAGTTGTTTATTACTATTCATGTATTCTTGTATAATTCAACTATTGTATAAATTAGTTAATTTTAATTAAATAATTAATTAATGAAGAATATTGTTTAGCGTGGTCCTAGCTCGATCACCTACCAGCACTACCGTAAGCCTTGAAACGGTACTTTTTAACAAAGTGCTGAACCCAAAACCCTATATATGTTGTAGTGGTACTGCAATAAATAATAAATCTATCTATTTAATTGATAGATATTAAATAAATGTCTGGAGTTATAATCTTTCACTTCTTGTCTGCCACAATTCACACTTAAATGAAACATGAATTGAGGAAAAGTGAATTGAAACACAGAGCTGTATGGAAATATGTATTCAAGTGCCGTTTACGCTAAAAGGTTATAGATTATATTTTTCACAGCTTACAATTCAAATACTCCATTCAATTCCGTACCTCACCAGATCTCGTACTTCCGACCCCTATCCTCCTCCTCACCGAACTGCTGCGTTTGACAAATCCTTTGCAATACAAGCCGCCTCCCTCTGGAATTCCATCCCTGATGATATACGACATGCTCAATCAGTTTCCTATTCCAAACCACTCCTCTTTAAGCACCTACTCCTTTCTCAATCCGACTGATTGCGAAATATAATTAAGAGAAATATCTAAGCACCGCCAGAGACTACCTCAATTTATTAAGGTTATTTTGGTTTCTCATATATATGTACAATTTACTTGTTCTTTTCTTTCTCTTTTCAGTATTTTTATCTTAAGTCAACTCTTATTGTAAATATACAATCAAATTGTAACCACACAGACATAAAATCTGTATTTATATTTTGTTCTTAAGGGACAACAGACCCAGAATAATAAAATATTTTTTCATTTCACTTCATTATTCATTACTTCATTATGAATGATTAACTTTGGATAATTTCTAAAAGCTTTCAGGGTATACTAGTCTTTAAGACACTTTAGAAGGAAAGTCACACCGACTGAAATGAAATCTCTCTGAAGAATAGTTAGTAAGACCAAGAGGGACGACATCCAAAACGTCTGCAGTCCAGAGGACTTGTATATTCGATTAGGATGTCCTGCAATAATGTTCTGCAAGAACCACCTGGTATTTACACCTATTATATATTGTTATATTATTGGTTACAAGTTGTCGTGTTTGTTAACGCATAAATAATAACGTGTACTTTAATTAAATCTTACAGGTTTGTTTTCGTTTATTTATATTGTTCTTATAATTGTATTTTGTTATCTAATACTATTGTAAATTTTACATATTAATAAAATCAGTTGTTATTAAACCAAATTAAAAATGAAATTACATAGCATTGAGTAAAGAAGGAAAGTGTAAACAATGTAAGGAACAAACGGATCAAAAATATTTGTACATATTATTAAGTCAGACAAATATAGTTATAAGCTGGTGATAATATCCGAAAACGAACCTGTAAGAATTAATTAAATTACATGTATATAGAAGTATAAAAAAAAACTGGTAATATTTCACAAATGTTTATTATTTTCAAACAATTATGCATCTAAAGTAACATTACTTTCATAGTACAAAAATAGTAGAAAAAATAGTGGAAAAATAAATTATTGGACTAGACATTTTTTTTTTAATCATTAGTAATATGCTTAAAGAATCAGCATTACTTCAGTAACACATTAAAAAATCAGAAACCAAAAAAAAGGATATAACCTTTGCAATAGAACATATAAAAAACATCTAAGACGATATATTTTCTCTAAATTTTCCGATTTTGACAATTTTTTTTTTTTTTTTTTTTTTTTTTTATGAAATTGCGTAAACGTTTGAATAACCATTCAAGGACGGCGGACGGACAATTTTTATTCGTTTTTCGAATTCTACTTATCCTGAAACGAAAAACTTAAATTTTGATAGGGGATTAAAGTTTTGAATTTTTTGTTCGACCAAAATGGTTCATTATTGAAAATAATAAACCAAATATATTTTAAAATCGTGATATCTTTGCTAATAGTTCTCTGATTTCGGTGAAACTTTCTTCTTTTTTTAGAAAATTTAAATACCTTTGAAACATTTTATCACAATTTCGACAAAAAAGTATATATTATTTGAGTTATTCGGAATCTAATTTTACCATCCCTCGTAACTTTTTTTCCAGTTTCTTTTCGTTGAAGTATGTCATATAGGTAAATTTAAAGAGCATTGAGAAGAAGACTAGCAAAGTTTCACTGAGATCGGTATATTCGTTTAGGCACTACAGTCTATAGCAACGCTGGTTTTTCGGACGCCATCTTTAAATGAAAGGGCGGATAGAAATGTGGATGAAGGAGGATCATCCTCGGGTGACCTCTAATTTTAAATAAAATCGGTTCAGTAGTTTCGGAGAAAATGAGCGGACGGTGGAAGGACAAAAAAAATTTAATTCGTTTTTCGAATTTTACGTAAAATGTAAAACCTCAAATTTTTAGTGGGGGACCAAGAAATCAAAACAAAGGATATAACCTTTGTAATAGAACATATAAAAAATATCTAAAGACGAAATATTTTCTCTAAATTGTCCGATATTTTGATTTTTTTTTTTTAGGAAATTGCGTAAACGTTTGAATAACCATCCAAGGGCGGCGGACGGACAATGTTTATTCGTTTTTTGAATTCTACTTATTCTGAAACGTAAAAGCTCAAATTTTGAGACGGGATTAAGTTTTTGAATTTTTCGTTCGATCACAATGGTTCATTATTGAAAATAAATAACCAATATAACTGTCTGTCCAATACCAGCTGATATTTACATAGGTATGTTTTTATATTGAGCCACTAGCTTAGGAGCTAGTACAAAAGGCAGATACAACAAGATTATGCAACATCTCGGAGAAGAGAAGACTATCTCTAAGGACCGGCAAGACTTCACCTGAGCGTCTTCTAGGACAGTAACTCCACGCTTGATGTCACATACCAGTTAGAAGAAGATAAAGAAATATAATGATGTAGAGATGGTTGACCGTGAAATAATATAAGAGGGAGTTGGTAGGGGGGTGCGGTCAAATAAATACTAAATCATTAAAAAATTGTATTTTTAATTATTATGCCGACGTTTCGACGTTTGACGTTTGCAGGTCTTCACCAGGGCGTGGCATGTGTTTGTTTGTTTCGATGTCTAGGCGCAAAACATCTAGGTCATAAGCGCCCGATCAACTAAATAACACCACTTAATACTGTTTGGATGGTTGGTACAAAAAATAAAATAAAGGATAAAAAAAAAATAAAGAAATGGATTGATAGAATAAAATAAATAAATAAGGATAATAATAGACATTTATAGATAATAACATAGAATAGGTAAATAAATAAATTTTTAAAAAATAGCAGTAAAATCAATAAATGAATTGAGATTAATAAACAAATGAACTTGAAATGAAATGAAATGAACAAATGAAACAAATGAAAAAAATAATAAAAATAAAAAATAAAAAAAATAGAATAAAAATAAATAGATAAAAAAAAAAAAAATAATAAATCTGCAAAGGATCATTAACTATAAGCTTGCCATATGTGTTTTTTAAGTCTTTCACTATCCAGGAACTTGATGTCTTTGGTAACGATTTCTTCTTGATTTCCCAGGGATGATGATATATTCTGGGGTATTCGTGGCATGTGGCACTGCAGGAATCAGTCGAAACATTGGAGTAATAATTAAAAATACTATTTTTTAATAATTTAGTATTTATTTGACCGCACACCCCGACCAACTCCTTCTCATAAAAAAATTATATTAAATGAACAAATGTGGATATGAAATAGGAAATTTGGAATAATATCCTTGTAGATATAAAATAATTTTCCAGATGGGAAATACTCCGAAACGGCGAAAACATGTTATATGACTATCAATCAATAAGGTTGAGTAAGAAGTGATAATTTACTAATGAACCATACAAATAAAATAGAGGCTGGTTGGCTAGTGGGGCAACGTATGTAGAAAAAACTCGTTATCCGGCAACAAGATAAACCAAAGATTATAAGAGTTAAAATTTCAGTGGCCCGGGAAAACCCTGTGTTGTCGAAAAAAAGTGTAAAAGAATACAAAAAAAAAAAAAAGAAAAAATATGGAGTTAGGCATGCTTTTTATTTAAATTCAATGTCAATATAATTCAAGTAATAATCGTCATATTTATGAAT